ATTGAATGGAATTCCAACAAACAACTTGAAAGATTCAGCAGAAAAGCAGAATCGATATAGAAAGTGTGCATGTGACGGTGGCAATAGCAGCAGAAGCCGCTTCTTACGGCAACAGTACTAAAAGAAAAGTAGAGCAATACTGAAAACAAAAAAAACAACAACAACCACCACCAACATTCATTCGAAAGTGTATCAAATGCTACTTGAAATTCAAGTATCTCTTTTTGTGAGGTGGGTTTTTTTTTCATTCCTTTCATTTTTGTGGTTTGCGTTTGAATTGTTTTTCTATTACTTGTCTACTTATTCTCTGTGTGTGTGTGTGTGTGTTTGTGTCAATCTATCTCTTATCAATATCCCTTAGTTCTTCATTCGTTCTTCGTTACGTTTATTGACTTGCCCTTATAAGCAAACGTAGTCAATTTTCTCTGTGTTTTTAACAAAAGATTTTCCGGAATGCATGCACCAACCCCATTATGAAATTCCAAGTGATTTCCACTGAAAAATGCATTTTGAAATCACATTGTTTCCAGATGAATGCCATCTATGTAAAACATGCATACTACAACGTAAATGCACTGATTAAATTTTAGTTTGTTTACTGTACATAGATGGTGTAAGAAGTATCTGTCAAAATATGGCAAACATTCTTTGATAAATTCATTTTTGAAACCAACAATCGCAAAGAAATTACGAAACTAGTTTAAAAGTTTTTTTGCGGAACGCAAATGCCAATATGACTGTGTGCAAGAGTGTCGGTAAGTCTGAAGTATATAATTATACCGAAAACAAATACTTAAATAGCGTAACGATACATTTTTGCTGCCCATTTGTATTTTGTGTGCATGCAATTGCAATTGTACATTGGATTATACTTAAAAATAACAATTGCAACAACTACAACTGGCAAAAAAAGTCAGCGATGTTACGTAATTGCGATATTAATATTTAAAAGCGACTCCAATTTCAGCTTTTTCATTGAAATTATCAAATAATTTGTAATTATGCTAAAAGCGCACACGGACACATATTCCGAGTCAGAGATAGTTGCTTAGCCATTAAATTGAGTTCAAAATGCACACACAAATTAAATAGAAAACGTTCAAAAAGTTATTACTTGCCAATTTGAATTAACAGTAAACGTATGCAGTCTACGCAAAATCGTACTTCGATGCAGCTAACGAATGCCGTGAATATTGTTAATTTGACAAATCAATCAAAGTTCAGTTGAAATACTGAAAACACTTTTCCAAGTACATTGGAAACAATTTATTAATTTATGAAAATTATTGAATTTTCCCTATGCATACAACTCGAGTTTTTTTGATGTTACTTTATAGTTTCCCCTGAATTTTCACTATCATCGATTTCGGAAAATGGAAAATAATTTGCGTGAACCTTGTAAAAATGTCAATTTGTATGAAAAATTATATGGGTTACCCCAATATTTCGAATGCAATTTGATAGTTTATTGTATTTTGTATATTTTATTATTACAAAGTTTACATTCAGTGACAATACAGTAGATACACTATACAGAGTGTGGACGTATCTGCATTTGTGTTTCAAAATGTACATTATCGCTCAAAAGATTGGGTGAACTATACAAAAAACTATATTTTCATACAAATTAGTGCTTTTGAAATGTTCAATTATGCGAATAACCAACGGATTTCGTAAATCATGTAGAAAACATTTCTAAGAAGACAAAAAAGAGGAGAAAATAAAAACTCATTACAAGGAAATGATCCAATTTCGTACAAATGGTACTTACACCTATTTTGAATGAATCTCTACAAAAAAAATCTCTTTGAGTTATTGCGAGTGAAAAGGAAACATTTCAAATAATTTTGCCGTGATTGTCAAATTTTGCATGAATGAGATTTAAATGTGTTCTTCAAAGTCAATATACTTGAATGTTTTTGGAACAAGTAAAATAACTTTCAAGTCAACACAAACCTTTTGAATTGTACTATACATGTATATTATATTCTCAGAACATCTGATTTAATGAAACCTTATACATAGAAAAATAGATTGAATCTTTTACAGCATTTGTAAATCATCTTTTCTTTTTCAACAAACAAAAACCACTTCAACATTCAAAAGCCACGAGAAAATGATCAAGTTTATCATCGTTTACTCTTTTTTTCATTAAACAAATGTCATGTTTTCTTCTTTAAAAAAATATCATTCACGTTCTGTCTCTGTACATCCTCGCCATTCTCCATTGATTCATTTCTGCGAAGAATGGGAGTTCTGATTTGAATGAAACACTAAAAAAAAGAATCCAATTATTTTCTCTTAAATGCCATTAGACTTCATTTAGTTTTGCTCCATAACGTTCAAATTCGATTGTAAGTATCCGGGTCGGTCTTATTTTTGGTATTTAAATGTCATTATATATTCGAAATCGTTTTTACGAGATGTATTTGATGTACGATTTACAAAAAAAATAAAATCGCATTAACACAACGCATTCATTTACTTTATCCAGCGTCGAAATGTTAAATTGAGGGATAAACACGCTGCCACTATTGCCATAGTCAATGAATCCAAGCATTACCAACGAAGTTGACACAACTTAATTCATGTTTGAAACATTATTGGCCGCGTGTTAATTACGTTTCTTCTTAGTTTGGTGGAAAGTTGTTCGTTAACCAATGTAATTTAATAGACAAGGGCGACGCATCTTGTGCCAGTGTGCCAAACTACTACCATCAAATTATACTGGTTCGGCACACAAAAATACAACGACTAAACATTCACTGTATTCATTTTAACCATGTAGAGAAATTTAATCACTTCGTTGTGACTATAAATCGTAAGAAGTCTGATTGGACGAGGCATAATTTAGTCATTTGTTAACACACCGACCGAATGGAATGAGAGATTGATGGAAATGGAGCAAAAGAGAGACAGAGATAAAAGGAAAATGCCTCTCGTTGCCACACTTTTTTTCTGGTGCCACACTAATTCCAATTTGGCACTTTTCGATTTTTCGACAGCATGTTACTAAAAGTATCTGCAATTTGAAGAATTGATCAGACGGTACGGACTCTCTTTTTTTTAATCGAATTTATCGCTTTGATTCTCCGATGTAGAGTGGCTTTGAGAAATGTCCAATTTTCCTGTTCATAATAGAGACACGTAATTTGAAGATTTCGCATTTTTTTCCACAACCTTAATTCACTTACAATTCAAAGGGGTCAATAAACAACGTATCCCCGAATAAGTGCACATCATTTTTTTTTTCAAGTGTGTTTGGAACGAAAAAAAAACGGCATTTTATTTTTAAAACATTGAGTAAATAAGCTAATTGAGAGTCCTTGTCGACGCTTGTTTTGTCACAAACACACACACACACACACACACACACACACACACACACACACACACA